GACCCTGGGCGAGACGAGTGACCTCCCCAACGTTAAACTGGACTCAGTCCCGATTCAGACCTTCTGACTTCACATCTCGTACTGATTCTGGGATGGCACTCTGTGCCTGATAAACTGGTTAAACTCTTAGGGGTTAAAGACAGTCCTGAAATTTACTACAAGGCAAGATGAGAGGCGGGCGAGGACAAGGCACTCGTTCAGCTGGAGGAAAAAGCCCTCCTGGGCTCGGCAGCGTGGTTCTTTCAGTCACGTGAGAAGCCGGGCAATGAAGACCCCAGGCTGACTGCCCTGGGCCCCTATTCCAGCCCTACTCCCAGACCAGGCGAGTTTCTTAGGTCTTCCTGTTTTCCTAGTCCTAAACCGAGGGTAACTCCCCATCACACAGGAAGTGAGAACAGAGACAAGACCAGTGTAGATACTTAGCTCCACTCTCAGCATCCGCTCATTGGGGCCAACAGCGCCGTGTGCTGACCGCTAAGCCCATCTGCATGGGCAGCCTGGGGGTGAGAGGACACAGGTTTTGCAGCCAAGGTGGGACGTATGGCCTTGTGTGAGGCAGGGCCCCTCACCTGGGTCTTGGCACCCTCTCCAGGACACTAGCATCTTCCCAGGCAGGGCCGTGAGGAAGAGTTAACATCAGGAATACAAAGTCCCTAACATAGTGGCCGTATATACCAGACGAATGGTCTTATTTAAAGTTGACTTAAGCCCAAGCATTTTCTCCTTTAATAAGACTCTGGTTTAATGAAGCATTGAATGGCACAAACCAGACTTAACCAGTTACTGCTTGCAGGGACTTCTTTTTAAGTGGAGAGAGCATCAACATTTATGAACAAAATCAGGTAATACAAGTATTTGAGGCAAGAGAAGTGGCCTAATGCTTTTCTTCTTTCCAGTTACAACTATGTATTTGTTGTCACCCTTTGGGGAGGGGGGTTACACAGCACACTAGTGTTTGGTCTGTGAGGAAAACAACTGAATAAATATTCTGAAACAAAGCCCCCCTAAAGACCTAAGGAGGCTGTTTTGCTTCATGACAAACGCGCCCCCTGCTGTGACCTTCCTGAGGGGGGGCCCCCCCCGTACACTTGTGGAGGGTGGGTGAGAAGTCATTGCTGACTAGCAGTTTCCCCGGATTCAACGAAGCCGGAAGGCTACCTCCCAAATTGCTTAAAACCACCTGGGCCCCAAGACTAAAGCGGGACAGGTTAGAAGCTGAAACAGAGCGGGAGATCTTGTTCTATACACGTAGGGATCACGAAGAATCATACATTACTTTAGATGGAACAGACCAAGCTCATGTCCTGCAAAAGCACATTATGTCTTTAAATGTGGCTGCACAAAAAGTAACTCTGCCTCATGGAAAGGTTTAACATCTGGATACATTTTACCTGGAACACTGTATGAACATGAGATACAGAAGGACATTTCAAGTACGTAACTGTCCTTTCTAAGATAAGTAGGTAGCGGTACAGTGGCTTTTATATCAGTGAGCACTTCCTGATTTCAGCACTTGACCCCTGTGCTAGTCTTGGGTACCAAGAGGACCACACTGCAGCGTCCGAGTCACTGGAAGGCACGTCTGCGGGGGTGGCCAGTGGGTCCTGACACTGCAGGGTTCCTTCTCGGGATGGAGGGACAGCCCCTTCTGCCCCAGGAACGCCACGCCAGGGCCTCGCAATGCACACTAGTTAACCGAAGGAGCCACGTTTCCTGGGCCAGGTTAAAATTCATTCCCACGGGAACACTTGAGAGTGTTTCCCTGAACTGTAATAACTCGGTGGTTAAGTGCAAACAGCCGACGGTTGCCAGAGAAGGGATTGGGATTGGGCGAAACGGGTGAGGGGGGGTCTAAAGATACAAACCTCCCGCTGACTTTACAGCGTGGGGAGGTGACCTGCTGCAGTGTGACTCCATCTGGCAGATTGGAAAGCTTCTAGGAGAGTAAATCTTACAAGTCCTTATCACAAGACAAAAAGATTTTGTAACTGTGGTGACAGATGTTAACTAGACTTCCTGTGAGCATTTCACAATACGCACAAATACCCAGTCATTATGTTGTACATCTGAAACTAAAACGTTCTATGTCAATTATACCTCAATTAAAAAATTCTTTTATAAACAAACAAATAAGTAGAAGCAGCAGTCTACAAGAGCTAGCCTGGCGGTGTCTATTTCCACAGACTCCAGCCCCCTCGCGCTGCTTCCCAGAGCCACCTGCATCTTCCTACTCCTGTATCTAATCATGATCTAAAGCCTAAATCTTGATGTTCCAAGTACTCACGTGTGATTTTACTCTTCACTGGAAATAATAAAAGTGATTTAAGACCGCCAAATCTAACAAAATCTGCCCTATGATGTTCCACGTGTTTAGAAGAAAGAATGCCTAGCCATCTGTCCCTATTGGAAACTTCATCAAACGTGGGGGAAAATATCCAGCATTTGATTAACTGCATGCCAGGCTCCTATTCACTTAACCTGATTTATTTCTCGGAAGCACCCTTTATAAAACAATTATTTTAAAAGTGAACCATGGACCAATTGTTAAGCTATTTATTCAAGATCAAACCCCTAAGGGACAAAGATGGGTTCAAACCCAGCAAAGATTAGCCTCTGTGCCTGTCTCTCTACTACAGCCATTTATAGACCCCAAAACTGTTAAATATGAAGAAATCCAGTATTAGCAACTATGTTCTAGTCAATCTTCACTCCCATAACGTAATTTTCATTATTAGCTCTAATTAAAATAGAGGTAGAAACTAGCAAGTGGAATTTCATATAAGCAAAGATTCTTCTAAACCACTTTTATTGCACTGGATTGTCATCAAGTATTTTAGTACCTTATTTTCATAGAAGAAACCTCTTATTATTTTCTAGGTAAATCTTGAATTTTAACATTCAAGAAGATTCTGAAACGTTTTTGAAGTTTTGCTGGAAAGTAAATGCCTATTCGTAGGTACTGATATGCAAAAAGTTCACATTTTAATGTATAATCAACTACAATTTGCATTTCTCTACCAAATAGTCTCTATAATGGAAATTCACTGTAAAACACTGAGGGATTTCTGTCTGGCACAAATAAAGTTCTCAATGTCAAATGAAGTAAACAATCAGAAAACAACGTAGTGTTTTATGGAAATCAAGCCACATAGAGCTTTAGAAGCTACAATGATCCCAGTTCTTCCTTGTGGCGGCTTCACAAGAGATGGGAGGAAACAAACTCTCTCCACCGAGTTTCACTTTGAAATGGGAACCAGATTATTGCTTAGAAATGAAGTTAGTCTAGGGTGCCTGGGTGGCTCAGTTGGTTAAGCGACTGCCTTCGGCTCAGGTCATGATCCCAGGGTCCTGGGATCGAGTCCCGCATCGGGCTCCCTGCTC